GGGCTCCATGGGCTGAGAGCTGGGCCTCCAGCAGGTCATGCCTCTGCAGAAGCTCCACTACCTCTGCCAGCTGCTGTCCACTGGCCGTGGAGCTGGCCAGCACCTGGCCAGGGATGGACGAGGGGTTATTAAAGTCCCAGAGTGCTGGGTCCCCGTGAGTGCTAGGGCTGGCACATCCTGCTGTGTTTCCCAGGTGTTGGCTGGTCCGGAGCCCACCTGCAGCTCATTGAGCTGGTTGGAGGCAGTTTCTACCTCCTGCAGCAGGCTCAGCACAGCCTGCATGCCTGCCATCTGCTTCCTCTGTCCTTGGAGACGCTGAAGCAGCCTCTCCCAGCGCTGAGTGATCTCCAGTTGCCTGGGGGACACGAGAATGAGGGTGATGTCCACAGGACTGGGGCATGGAAGATACCTCGGGGTGCATAGTTGGTGGTGGTGGGTCTTGGCTATGCTGGAGGGGCCTGAGTTCTGTGGCTGGGGCTGTGAGCATCCTAGCCTGGGGCAGTTGGGGTAGTGTCCCCAGGATTTAGACAAAGGCAGAGAATCTGGAAGGAGGGCCTGGGAGGTCCAGACATCCAGAGTGATCATTGTAAGACCAAAGTTAGATTGTGTCACTCCTCTGCTCCAGCCCTGCTGTGATTTCCTATCTTTGCTGTGCCCTGCAGGGCCCAGCACTATCTCTGCCCTCACCTCCACATCTCCCTGACATCAACTCCAACTTGTTCACTTGGCCAACACTGGCGTCTGTGCTGTTTTTCAAACATGCCAGGCATGTGCCCACCTTAGGACACTGAGCTAGCCGTTCCCTCTTCCTAGTAGAGTCCGTCCCCCTGTTTGTATGGCTTCTTCTCACTTCTTTCTGGTCTTTGCTCAAAAGTGAACCTTCTCTGACCACCCAATCTAACCTCCTCCCCCCACCTTGGCACCCCATATCCCCTCTTCTGCTTTATTATTTTTTAAAACCACTATCTCACATGTTATGTGTTTTTCTGTTCTCCTTAGTAGTATGTAAGCTCTTTGAGGGGAGGGATTTTTGTTTGTCCTCTTCACTGCTAAATTTCCATCACCTAGAACAGTACTTGGGACATAGTAGGCACTCCATAAATGCTTGTTTAGTAAATGAATTAATAAGAGGCTCTCTAGAAAGGACAGTGCTTTACCAAAAGAGATCCATTATGGATGGTAGTATTTCAGGCATCAGTGGGAGCTAGATTTTTTTTTTTTAAAGGGAGCCTTGAACCCATAAGTCACTCCCTCCTCTGTGGCCAGAAATGGGCAAATGTAAAGACAGGGGTATGGTAGTAAGGCTCTAGTCTGTTTTGAAGACGGTTCATGTGTTCGGGGCTCACCTGCAGGCCACATCTGCCCAGCCGTGGTAGTGCTCCTGCTGGAGGATATGCGCAACTTCGGCCAGGGCCTGGAAGCGCCCCTCCTGGGGCAGGATGCTGGCCTCCAGCATGCCCAGCCTCTGGGCGGCCACTTCCATTGTGGCCGGGCTGGCTGGCGGGGCTGTGGCCTGGTCCAGCACCTGCTCTGTGTCTGCCAGAAAGCTCTCCCGGAGGGCTGCCTTACGCTGGAAGCGCCGGGCTAGGGTTTCCAACCGCTCTAGTTGCAGGAGCCTCTGCTGCAGGGCCTGGCTCCTTGAGGCCTCTGCCCGCTCCAGGCATGCCCAGCGCTGGGACAGCTCCGCAGGGCCCAGGCCCTCGTGAGGCAGAAAGGGCCTGCGGTTCTGGGCTCGGAGTGCTGTCTGCAGCCGGAAGAGCAGGGCCTCTGTGGCCCCTCGCTGCTGCAGCCGTGGTGGCTTCTCCTGGGTGCGGAAGGTGGCAAAGGCCACCAGTAGCTGGCGCATGGCCAGCAGGGTGTCTGGGAAATCCCGCGCCTCCAGCTGCACCTGCTTCTCCGCAATCCAGCAAAGCAGGTCGGCCACCAGCTGCTCGTACTGGGTCTGCAGAGCTTCTGTCTCCTGGAGCTGAAGCAGGATCTGGAGGGGATGAGAAGGGGTCAGGGCGGCACCTCAGGACAGGCCCTGGAATCCAGGCCCTGGAAGCCCTCCCCTCTGGGGTGCTGAGTGCCAGCCAGGCTTGTCCAGGGGGGCAGCAGCTTCCCTCAGCTGAGGATGCACTAAAGGGAGGGTCCTCCCTGCCCCCAGAGAAGCAGGTCTGCCTCCATTCCACACTCAGAACTTGGAGTGTGGGGCTTCCATCCTGTCTGCCTCCATATTATCTTACCTTATTTGGCCTCAACTCTAGGGGTGCTATCCTTCTTCTGAGCCTTTTCCCCCTTCCCTGAGGCCCCCACACCCCTAAAGCAGCTCAGAGCCCTTGGCCTGGATCCCCTCTCCCAGGCCCAGCTGAGACACCCACCCTGAGAACAGCCCTCCCAGGCCTCAGCCTCTGCCATCGTGCCCAGAGGGTAAGAAAGCCCCCCAAAAACATGGACTCAGCCGGCGGAGCTGCTCTGTGCTTGTCCTTGCAGATGCCAGCTCTCTAAGCCTTTTAATCCCATTAGGAGCTCAACAGCCTAGGAGCAGAGGGGGCGGGGCCGGGGGCAGGAAGAGGTGCGGCTCCCCCGGCAGCCCTGTGTGACAGGCACTGTGCTCATGCTCCCGTGAACACTCAGAGCAGCCTTCTGTTACCCAAGATTAATTATCTATTACCCAGGTGGTGGCGTCTCCTTTTCACAGATGGGGTGCAGTAAAGTTAGGTGACACGGCCAAGGCTACTAGGCAGCTAGGAAGGGGCAGAGGCAGCCTTCAAACCCAGGTGTCTGACTCCGTAGCCCACTTTCGCCCCACCTCTCCTCAGTGCCACCTTCCCTTTGTCACCAACCTTTGAGAGTCTCCTCTGGACAGTCTGCTCCTGATGCAGGCGTGAGAAGTGGTGGTAGTAGAGGGAGACATAAGTCATGATGGAGCGCTCATCAGGCTGCAGGGCCGCCACGTCCTCAGGGTCCAGCAGCTGAGCGATGCCCAGCTCCTGCTCAGCCACGCAGAAAGCACAGTGGAGGTTGTGCAGTGGGCGGTCGGGTCGCAGGGAGCTGTAGTCAAGCAGGTCTGGCCTGGGCGGAGAGCAGGCAGGGCTCTTCACCGGAGTAATTGATTGCTTGGGTTTAAGTGGACTTGTTAAAAAGGCAAACCAGCTCTTACTGATCACAACTGATCATTACCATCACAACTGATGTGCATCAGTTTCCCCTGATGATTATTTGAGACCACAGCTGAAGGAATAGGGCTTGGATAGAGAGGGGAGGGTTAATTTTGCTCAGGAGCCAGGCTCCTGGGTAGGGGGAGAAACTCCAAAAGGTCAAGTACTTGATAGGGAGAGGAATGAAAATGGAATCAGGGTCACAGAGGGTGGAGGAAGGCAGAGATTAAAGGCAAACCTGGCCAATTCCATGGAGCGGGGAGAGGTAGCAAAGACCAGGGCCTCAGCTGTCAGCCATCTCTACCTCTGTGCCTAGCACAGGAGCCAGAGGGACGTGGAAGGATGGGCAGGTTGAGGACCCAAGTCCTGGAGCAATTTGCTCAGTGGAGGGAGGCCTCTGGGAAGGAGGCTGAGGAGGGTGCTGGGTCCCCCCCGCAATGCACCTGTGGGCATGGATGAGGGCACTGAAGCCGAGCCCATCACTCCAGCTTCGGGAAAAGTCGGTGATGTTGACGTAGGCATAGCCGGCCGTCTTCCGCTGGCACCAGACCAGCAGGGCTTCCTTGGCGGACAGGAGGGCTGCGCTGGCCCCAAACTCCTCCTGGAAGGACAGGGCAGCAGGTCACCATGCAGGTATGGGAGAGCAGAGCCTGCAGGAGAGGCAGGCTGGCCACGGTTGGGATCCTGCTCCCCCTACCTGGAGGCGGTATGGACTGCGCTCTCTTCGTAGCATCTAATTGTACTTGCTTTCACTTAGGGTGGGCAGGGATAAAGGGTGCGACAGAAAGACTCCTTTCAAAGAAGCAAGGTGCTTGAAAGCTGTCGCCTCTGAGCATCTGGCTTTGAGTCACAACTGGTGACAACAGCAGCAGTAGCTCTTGTTTCTCTGGCCCTTCTGATGCCCTGGGCACCGTGCTCACCGACCCTTGGCTGCATGGAATTGAGGCTGGGCTCGTCATGGCAGGCTTCCTGCCAGCCAGGCACCAGGCACACACAAGTGGCTTTTCGCCCTCACAGCCCTCTGAGGGAGGCACTGTTAGTATTTACTTGCTAAGGACGGCACCATGAGGTGCAGTAAGAGAGATTGGGACACTGCCCTGGGTTCCCCAGCTCATAGGGGAGGGATTCTCTTGACCCAGAAATGTCTGACAGAGAGCCCGCCTGTCTGTCCCCTCAATGTCTCAGGCTGGGCTGCTTCTTAGGGCTGGAAAATGAACATCTTTATTTGGTTTCAATCCCCTCCTACCCGCATATTCCTCTGGTTGATAATTTCCTTTATTCTGCGTCTGCCCACCCACCCCCTCCCCACCCCTCTTCCACTCAGGGCTTCTTCCCCTCCCCCTTCCCGGCTTCTACTTCTTTCCCTGCCTCCCAGCCTTCCATTCCTCATCCCTGTGGTCCTCAGTGGTTCTCTCCTTCTGTCCACTCCTTCCTCACCAATCACACGGCACAGAGTCCTCATCTCCTTTCTCCCCTCTGCTAATTCCTGTTTATAAACTTAGAATGTCAAAGCACAGCGGGCTGCATTTCCTTCCCTGCCCTTGGGGCCCCCCCGCAGCCTGGGGAGGAAGGACAGCTGGGTGGCAGCGCAGGGGATGGGGAGGGGGAAAGGGCCCCGGCCTGGAGCCTGGCTCTGCCACAACCAGGCTGGCCCAGACACCCTGAGCACTGCGCTAGGCTGGCGGACAAGAACCAGGAGAGATTCTGGGGACAAGCATGTGAAGGAGCAGGGTCAGCCTGGTCCCAGATACACCTGAGTTTGGCAGGGAGCAGGGCCTGAGCAGGCTGAGGGCAAGCAGAGCCAGCTGGGTGGTTGGTGGCCTATCAGGGGATGATGTGGACCTGCTACTCCCAAGGGAGAGGGCAGCAGCGGCACCTGGAACTGTCTGAGGGGACTGGGTAGGGGAGCAGAGCTTCCTGGAAGGGCTTGAGGTCAGTGAGAAATTCACCCACCCGTTCATTCGCCACATAGGTGCTAGGCTCTGGGCACGCAGACAGGCAGGGCCCTTGCTTGCCTGGGGCTCACAGTCCCATCATGAGTGTCAAGGGTCCTCCTGGATTTGAGCCAAATCTGTGGCTTCTTTTCATTAGGATTCTCCAGGTTGGCTTTCTTAACCTACTGGAATTGAGTTTTTGATGGGGTTTTGGAAACCGTGAAACAATAAAAATTGATAAATGTAAAGACTTCATGCATTTACTCTTTCTGACCCAATTGTGGGAAAACAAGAGGTAGAATGGAGGAAGATGGGGGACCATCTCTTTGGTCTTTAGAATACTAGGGATTTGGAAACCTCCAGGGCTGGGCGTTCCTCTGTGTTTAATTTCCTCCAGTGGTACATTAAAGGGTAATGAAAGTTACAGGGCTTCAATGCCAAGCAGGGAACAAATTTGGGGGTGAAAGGAAGGTGCTAGGCTGGTATCTTGACCCCCTCACTAGTGAATGACTTGTCTCAGATCAGGTTTGAAGCCCCTGAATCTAGTTCTCACTTCAGTATATTACGGTCTCTCTGATATTCTGAATTCTTTGCCTGCAGTTGAAGAGTGAATGGTCCTTGTGTGGATGGCAAGGGTCTGCTGTGGGATCCTAACAGTTGGGTGGAACTGCTCTGCCCTCAGGGCCCTGAGGTGAGGCCAGGGCTGGGCTGGGCTGGGTAACTGGGCACTAGGGGCTGAGACATACCCTGTCCAGGGAGATGTGGGAAATCTGGAAACGCAGGATGATGACCCAGATGAGTCCCAGGATGAGTGTCTGGTCTCCATCCACAATGTTCT